ATTTCAATAATTCTTGGGTGGATTTACCATTTCCTAAGCAGGTTGCTATAGTGACCCTGCAAAATATTTTTTCAAAACAGTGTTGTACTGTAAATGTTTACATACAGCATAATCCTGCCAAATTGTCTTAAAACAAAAGAAAACACTTTGCTTTATGTCCAGCCTTCCAGCTTTTTCAGCATTGAGAATATACTTTCAACTAACAACAGCAGCTAATTACGCCTTTCTGTGGGCTTGCACACCCTCAGGACTAATAATGGGTCATCTATTAGCTTTAATGAATAACAAAGCTATCAGATTTACTAGTGTTAACTGATTTCATGCATTTCTGAGTAAATTCTGAGCTAACTGAAGGGCTGGGGCTTAGCTCAAGGGCCAGACACCCAGTTGGTACAAATCAGTGTCACTTGATTGAAGCAATAAAAATGTTGGTGCTGGGGCAGGACTTTATTGATGAACATCTGTAGATTTTTTATAGTCTTCTTAATCTGGGTAATTAATGGAACAATTTAATCATTTTTAGATAACATATGTCAGAAGAAATACATGGTTCCTGTTTTAATTCACATTCGTCTGGATTCCAGCAAGAGAGACCAACAGTCAAAGGAATATAAAAGTATTTGCTCATGGTGTTGTTTTAAACACTGTAATGTTCCTATATCAACATTAACAGTAGTGTGATTTATGATTACAGAACACATACATAGCTATCGAATGTCTCCCGCGCCTCCACTCTGTTTCTAAGATACTAAAGCAAAGTCCAGAGCACAATATAATTTACAGCACTATAAAATCTTTTACAACTGAAGCACAGTGAAAGCTTAATATCCAAGACCTTCTGTAATATGACTATGTCATCTTGTTAAACTTTATTTATGGGAACACTAGGGTTGACAAGACCTTTCTTCATGTCACTTTCCTACTGTTTATCAATATCACCTTTCTCACTTCATGGTGTTCATAGGAGGAGGTCTTCCTTTCAAAAACATAGGTTCAGATAGATAACAGCCTGTTTCCTCAGAGTTTGTTTTAGTTATGGCCTTAGATCACTTGTCCAAGATCATGATCTCTTCCTTCCTAGTACAGATTTAAAATGCTCTATCCAAGACAATGGATAATTCAAAGCATTCAGCCCTAAGACAAATTCTGAAGCACCACTACCAACCTTCTGTGGTTTCTTCTCCCAAAAAAGAAAATAAAATAAAAAAAATTATTGAAATTCTTGTATTTGAATTCTCCTCTACTTTTGCTTTTAGGATTTCAAAATAGATCACACATCAGAAAGGCCTTATTTTGTCACAACCTTTTAGATGCCAGAGGAGACTGGCATTGTTAATTCTTGTCATTTCTACTGTTTGAGAGAGCAAAACACCTGGGAGCCAAGTCACCCTGTGAGATTTCCCTCATCTGGGGCAAAATCAACGCAAAACTTGTGCCCGCCTGACCATGGCAGACCAGCATACGAATGCAAAGCTCTGATTAACTCCCATCTGGCCTGAGAACCAAACCATCACTCTAGTTTTATCTTAACCTAGCCCTGGGTTGGAAAACACTCTCTTTGAACTTTCATTATGCCGTACAACAAGACAGAAAAGGTTTAAAAAAATCCCACAATCTTAAAAATATTTTTTCTTTTATTTCAGACAGTAGCAGTGTCCTCCTAGACCCCAAACAGGGCCAAAGCAGAACCTCAGCTGACAGCTAAGTATCACGGTTGTCCCTTTTCACCCCTGTCTCCCCCTCTACTACCCACCAAGAGTTATACAAACTATTCAATCTGCTCAGCTGTTCAGCTCTGGTTTCGGCAGTCGGGATGCCAGCTCAGTGGGGAATGTCCTGCCAGCAGGAAGAGGTTCATCACTCGGACACCAGTTCCTTCCAGCACCACTGTCACCCTCTTCTGCAACTTCACTGTACCGCAGGAGAATTTCTCATTCCATAATCCCTGCATAATTTCCCATTAATAATTTTTAATTCAATAATCTCTGGACAGAGAATATGAAAAATGAATTCTAGCATGGTATTGCCAGTCAAATACCAGTTGAGAAAGGAACATGTTCAGAATGAAAGTGATACGAATGGGTAGGTAGGCAGGCGTATTTTCACCCTCACAATATGACTTCTTCAGACTTTTCTGGCAAGGAAAGGGAGTCTTAAAATAGAAATAAATTACAATCCCTTTTCTGTTTGGTTAAAGTAGACTTAGAACAAACAAGAAACAGGCCTGCACATCTTAAAGGCATGGCAACTAAGTCTGAATATCTGATTCCTCAGGCTTGCTATTGGTTGAGAACATCTTGCTATCAAGGAATTCAATACTACACTCAGGGTTTTTAATGTAGACTGACCAAATATGTTACACAAAGCACCTATGGATTTTCAACATCTTTTTGCTCAGGCTGCAGAAGTGCCCAAGTCCATGAGCAGTGTTCCATAATAAAAAGGGCTCCTTGCACAGAAGGGCGTTCCTAACCATGAACACGGGTAGCAGATTCTCTTGTTATATTATCCAGGACTCTACAGAATTAAACTAACACAAAAATGTGTAATTATTACAGCAGCCAAACAGACATGGAGCTCTGCTCCATATTAGTAGAAACCTGCACCGTTACATTTACTACTGCTGTCTTAAGCTTCTCTCCCTGAGATTCTTTATAAACATGACAGCCCTCTAAAATTCAAAACTTCATCTTGTCCTGATATGGCAGTTAAATCTGGAATCAACCAGCATCACAGAAAAACTTCAGCCCTCCTGGCACTTCTTCAACAAAGGACGTGTTTGTACTATTGATTGTACTGCTGAAAATAATTTTGCTGTGTTGACAGGCATCACTCAGCACAGATTGTGATGAAAAGCTGAAAATTAGAAAGTTAAATGAACACCTGCAACAATTTTCCTGCCAATTTTACAACAAAATAAATATTGAATTATTCTGATAAGTGGGTCAAATTCATCCCTGGTGTCATGGCCCTTTGAGGTCAACAGCGCTACGACAGGAATGAGAGCAAATGCTTCACTGAACGTTCAAACTCCCTGTGCCAACATTCATCTTCATTTAGAACCCATCTTTCCCTCTTTACTGAGCTTTTGCAGCAAAGCCATAATTTTCCTATCAACTTGCAGTCAATTATGTTGACAGTTTGACATGCATATTGTACATACACAAAAATAATTTGCAAAACAGCTTTTTCAATTGTTGGACTTAACAGTCATTTCCATCATACATAATCTTCTTTGACATGTATAATTCCACAAGCTATCCTTCCAGGAAGAATATGCATCCCTTCATATCATAGCTGCTTGAATAGCACTTCACATATCTGTGGTGCTGAAGAGATTTTATTAAAAAGACACTATTATGCAGTTTCGTTTTCATCCTGTCCTTTTTCTTTTTTATTCTGTTGCTAGCAGAAACTGAGAGATGCATTATTTTTCTCTTGCAAAGCAAGCAAAAATTTTATTCTTCCAATCTACAAGTGCTTACATAGCAAGAAATTCCTGTAAGTCCCAGGAAATCCATGGAGGGTTACGATATCTTGATTAGATTTCCCTCAACTCATGTCAGGGGAGGCTCTAATACTCCCAACAGCAGAGAAGCATGTGGATGGGGTGAAAAACATTTTCCGCAAATCTGCTATGGAGAGCAATGCTCCATGGGGTTTCCTTATGCCCATTACAGCCTGCTCACACCTGTGGATGTGCAGTGACCTCATTTAGTGAGAAGCGCTTTAGAAGACACCCATGAAGCAAAGAGCAGACAACAGATTATCATGTGCACGATTTCAAGGGCCACTGAGACCCATTTTCTGCACATTTGCCCTTTCAAACCTCAAAATAAAGATAAAGTCTCAGATTTCAAGTTTCAAGAAAAACCACTTTACCAGCTTTTGGCACCCGGGTGGTGTTCTGTAGGTACTCTCCACTCTTATACAGATTCAAAACTTTCTCTAGCTGTGCAGCCGTCTCATCTATTCCCCAGTGAAGTTCTCCTTCAAAAGCACAGAAAAAGAACGAATTAGATGAGGAGCAACCTGCACAGGACGAAAGCAAGGTTGCATTTGAATAAAGCCTTAACCATCAGAGCCCAGTGGTGCCCTGCTCTCCAACAGCATCGTGATGCAGACGTGAAGTCCATGAGTTACCACAAATTGGGTATCACACCTGACATGTGCCAGGCACATCAAAGGCTGGCTCATCTCTCTGGGAACCCCAGGCCTGCGGGCAAAAAACACTGCAGTGAGCTCCCACAGGGGACCAACTTTAGCCACTACAAGGAACTCCAAAGGCTTTGCTTGTTAACTAGCTATAGCCCAGCATCATTAAAGTCCCCATTGAATACACACAGTACAAGGCGTAAAACCCCTGAAACAATGCACCGAAACCCCTCAAATCAGATTTACAGGCACATGCAGCTACTCTTGTCCCAAAGGCACTACTTTGGTCATTAGTAAAATCTATGGTAATGTCACTTGCCTCTGGCTTCTGAGGTATAAAAGTACCACTGCCACCATTGGCAATGGGGAAGTATCCTGGTTTTATCATTAAAATTTCCCATGACAGCCACAGGGGTTCCTCCAGATCCAGCAAGGAACAGCATCTTGATGCAGTTCACCCCAGTGGACTATTGCAGTGAACATAAAGGCAGCATCCCCCACATCCCAAATGTGACAGTCACACGAAGAAAGGAAATACTTGACATTATCATGTTTGTTGTGATTACCTGTTGCGTTGACTATCTTATCCAGTAATGGTCTCAGTGAGGATGGAGCACTGTGTGGAAGAAGATATGTAAAAAAAAACCTGCAATGGAAAAGTAACCCATATTGAAAAATTATTTTTAAAAGTTTACAAGTGTCTGGTGACTACCGAACAACATAAGGAATAAAATTCCTAATGCTTGTAAGCCACAGACCTATTCAGGAAATATAATCATATTCTATAGTCAAATAAATATATAGCCGAGACTATTCACACAGCTGTCTGTCATACCTAGACCACTCTGTTATATACAATGCTGCCTTGTAACTAGGTGTAAATGTTCCGTTAATACAGAAATTTGCTATGAAGCCCCGTGGATTGTGATTATTTGCAAAGCTGTCTGTACTTTAACAAACTAAAAGGATGCCATCAACGCAGAAGTCTTGGGTTTTTTTTTTTTCAAACCTTGAAAGTGCATAAATCAAGTTTCTGCTCATTTTAAATAACTGACTATTATTTTCTTTTCTGTAGCTTTCTATGACTTTCAAATTAATTTCCAGGAGGAAGCCTTCTTCTATTGTTTTAAAGCCACTGCAATTCAGAATGTCTTCTCTGTTCTCATAATTTATCTAAATTCAAGGTGTATTTCTGTAGGTATTCATCAATGGATGTATATTCTCCATTTTAACATTTTTAACTACAAAAGAGAAAGCAATATGCCTTTACCATCACTTAAAGTACACTTAATTTTCACATTGTTCCTTTAAATTTCTATTACTCTGCCAATATTACTACCCACGGTGAACTCAATGTCATAGATGGAGATGGACAGTTCAGGATCTGACAATATAAACAGAACTATCAGACATAAACATTAGGTAATGAGCAGAACAGGAACACAATTGGGAAATCGCCCTGCTTTACATTTAACCTGCAAAGTAAACGCTTTTTCCTGTACAGAGACCGCATTGTCAAACACAAACCTACAGGGACTCATGCTCAGGAGGGAGACTAGCAGATGTCTTACACAAGCACAAACTAAAAAATTAAGTTGTTGACAGCAAAAATTGATCATAGACAAAAGTATTATTGAGCTGATATATTCCACTTACACAATGAACTGAGATTTTAACTTCCATAGTATTTATGATTTTCCCAAGTGGGATTATCCCCAGGGAGGTTTTCTTAGGGATGAGCATAAAAAAGCCAATGTAAATACATAGAGAAATCTAAAGAGCAGTATAACATCTGTAATAAATAATTTGTCTGGTAAATTTTGCCTCACTTTTTTTGCTTAGAGATTATCTGTAAAGAAGAGTCCAAATGATAGTGAATAGTTCTTTCAAAAACTCAGCAGCCGTCATTCACTTTCCTAAATGCTGGATGGATAAGAGTTACGGAAGTTATTGTTTTCTGTGGCTATATAAATACACAACTTGTTCTAATGCAAACACTCACATGTGAAATTCTGACATGTAGAGACACTAGCGCCTGCACAACTTAATCACAGGAACATTTGTTATTCATCGACTGCAGGGCCAGTGGCAGCCTTTGTGATCTGCGTAACACAGATTGTCAGAGCCCTTTACATTTGTTCCTACAGCTTTTTTTGCCTTTTTTTGTTTCTCTTTGAGAACTATCTGATCTTAATTTAAGAATTGTCAATGATGGAGAATTCGTATCAGGCATTGGTTAATAGTTGAAAATACTAATTATCCTTACTTTTAAAACTGTCCAATGCTTTGAAAATTGTTCCTCCAAACATTTGGAGGAGAACCCATAGAGACACATTTGTGACCGAAGGTAACCATCTGAAAGACAGGATGGGCCAGTTCTTCCATAGTAGAGGTTTTTTTCCAAAATGTTTTCTCTCCTTTAATTATTTACCTCATAAAGAAACCAGCTTGATAGCCTAATTACGCTTTCAAGGCTAGGGCGTGCTGTATTTTAAAATTACAAGGGTTTTATGCATTGTTTGACATATTGCTGCTTTTGACTTCTACCTAACAGCACCAGCAGCCCTCTCCTGAGGGCAACCTCTAACCCCGCAGCAACAGAGCGCATCCATGAAAATATGAGATTTAGTAGCCTACCCCTAACGAAGCAAGGATTTAGCCTTCCGAGACAAGTGCACGGGGTTTGTTGCTAAGGCCCTACCATGGGTGGTCGCCACCTACCACAACATGAACAAAACCCCACTGTCTATCGAATTAAGCAAAAAGCAGGGACTGGAAACACTGGGGCACTGTGCGTGTGCTACGCACTGCTGTGTGGTTCAAAGGCAATGCTAAGATCTGTAATAGAAAATCCCTGCTTCCTTCAGCGAGACCAGCAACCTGCCGCAAGCCCACCACACCGCAGACATAGCCCCACTTATGACCGAGACGGATGGGAGCCTATTAAAGGTTTCTTAGGCAAACCAGTAAAACGGTCTTAACCAAAAGCTAGCAAGCTAAGCACTATCTTTAAGCCAAGCAAATGGAAACGGAAAATTTTGCAGGACACGCTAAAAACTGCACTGCGCGACTGCAGATGGCTGTCATGTGGCGCAGCCCATTTCAGTGTGGTCAGCTAATGCAACACACATGCTGGTGAGAGCCCTGGGACCAAGGCAGAAAACTCTCTTTGGAGCAGCCTCTCCTTGCTGTGGTCTGGCAGGCAGTGAATGGCATCATACTTGAAAGGGAAGTCTAAGAAACCAGCATACCATTATGGCACTGCTTTGAGATCCTCCATCCTCCTGTCTGGATCAGAGAAGCAGCCACCCATCCCAGCAGTGCCCGGCAGCCGAACAGTGGTGGCAGGAGAAGTGTGGCACCGAGCAACAGCTCAGCCCTGAGGGGAGTGACGGCTGACTGGGGAGAGCCGAGACCACAAACACGAAGCCACTGCCCACAAGGACTCCACTGCAAATTCAGAGAAACTCTTAAAATCAAATTCAGAAGATGGATGTGTCAGCTGAACGCTTTCTTCAGTATGGCCAACTGCACTGGTGTGACCCGTCACCTGCACGTCCCCCATGGCAGACACGGCACTGCCATGGAGTGGAAAGCCATACCGGGAGCCAGGCCCCCAGTGCCTGCCCCTGCAGAGACCAGGGATGGGAGGGTAGGGGGGTGAAAGGGAGCATTCCTTGCTTTGAAAGGTTTGGGATTACACCCCAGACCATCAGCAACTGAGGGTGGTCTTGACAGCCCCACAGCTGCACCAGGGACTGTTATCACCCTGCCATGGCCGGCTGCGGCGAGGCAGGGAGCATCAAGCCAGGGTGCAGGATGAGAGCTGAGCTCCAACTCTGCCTCTGAATCCAGTGGTGGAGAATGCATGATAGCGCCTCAGCTCACACCTAAGAAGAGCTGCCTGAATCGTCTCACCACCGAGCCCCCACCTCCACGGGCACCTCTGCTTCACTCGCTCTACTTGTGTGAAGAATTTGGTGGGTTTCCACCAACGCAAAGCTAGACTGAGCAGTGAATCACACTCAAAGTATGCAAAACACTTCCAAAGTTATAAATGCTACATATTTTGACAAATGAAACAATTACTCATGGCTCCACTTCCTCTTGGGTAACCGTTCTGAGAAAACATGTACTCGTTGATGGAAATAACTATCGAGGATGCTGGAGACTTTTGGCCCACTCTTATTTCTCTTTTACCTTATCCAATCACATACCTGTAGGCATTGTAGAGATTCCTCTTTTCATTCATACTCTGACACCGTCCCTCAACCGAACAGGGCAGGGTGAAGTTCCTTGCAGGGAATTCCATGAAGCAGTCACTGTTACTGGTGCAAGAGCTCTCCTCGATGCTGGCATCGTCCAGATCTGTCACCTTCAGTTCCCCATCCACGATCACAAACTGTCGAGGGCGAAAATCCAGTAATGTCACAGAGCCGAGAGGGGAGTGAGCCAAATAATGCAGAAGCCGAACTAAGCTGAGACATATCTGAAATGCAAGAACATGCACACCTTGCGTTATTTTTGCAGTGCACAGTAAATAAACGAAACCACTTTAGCTGAAGATATAAACATATATCTTAATATAAGCATTATAACATCTTCAAAACTGAATGTTGCAACTAAGGTAGTTTTCAAAGGATTAACATAGTTGAATGTAAAACCCTTAGAGATGTGAAACGAAAATAAGCTGCTTTCCCACACTATACTTGAAGCAGGGCTCATTGTTGTTATTCTTACTTTTAATAGAAATAAAAGCATTAACTTTTAATAACACTTTGCACATAGGCCTTGACCAGCAGCCTGATTGTGCTCTTTTACAAACACCAGGTCTGGAAGTTTTGGCCGGACCACCCTGCGCCTGCAGCTCCAACTAGAGATGGTGTCTGTATTGCCTCCATGCTGATCCTGCCTTTTGACTGCTTTTATTTTTTTTTTCCACTGGTTCCTCTTATGTTTGCCTTTTTCCAGGGGAGAAGGAAGCAAATTCCCAGAAAGAGGAGCTCCACAGCTCCTCCACAACTCTTCACTGTGCCTCAGGGCAAGTGTGTATGTCCATTTACCTTTGTGAGTCTACCTTGGTGAACCCTCATGTGCCAGTTTGAGGCTGGGGTGGGAGCTCTGCGCTGATGCTGCACTTTTCAATTGTGCATTAGAAACTTGAGTAACTATTACCAGACAGCAAATTCAATGAACGTTGAGTTCAGCCCCCTTACCAAAGTACTGTTCTCAATTCATGTGTTCCTTTAGAGGAATCTGTTATGTAACGTATTAATGCAAACGTAGCATTAACAAGAACACAGTTAAATACTGGAATTTTTATTCTATGTATTAAATTAATAACAGGTCTTATTCAGCCTAGCAAGCTTTAGATTGTTTACATATAACCTTTGTTTTCTGTTAAAATACACTGTTAAGGCCACATGCATTGAAGTAGCCAAATCCAAATTCAATCTCAGGGCATAAACGGTATATAGAGGGAAGTACGTAAATGTGTCCTTCATAAGAAAGTTGAGTATGTCTGAAGCTATCTCTCACAGACCTTTTGCCTGTGGGATATTAGGACTACCTTACACTTCTACAATCATTCTCCTGCTTGACTAGACTAGAACATTTTTATTCTGCTTACAGGATATCACAGTTCATAAGGAGATGTCTGTAGACACAGCTGAAGACAGGTCAGGTTATGGGACACCAGACTTGACCACCCTTTCCTCCCTTTGGAAGGACACAGGATTCATGTACATGCTATCCCACGACATGCTGTATATAAAAGGCACAAACTAACCTATAATACACATATCATCAATCGCCAACAACCCAGAATTTAGCTTGAATAAAAACACAGGTTGTCATCTTAAATTACTGCCTTTTCTGAAATGCCAGAAAGCCCTTGCTCCTGCCCTGGCAGCCTCTGTGACCAGGCTGAGCCCCACGGGGCTGCTGCCCTGGGTACCTGCTGCCAGGCTGGGGCTGCAAATGCACCTGTACGACAAGCTTTAAGCACACAGAGGAAGGCTTTGCTCAGTGTCACACACCTCTGCTGAGCGCAGAGGTGCCAATCTGGGAAGCAAGCTTACTGTCCAGTCCTTCCACACAAGGAAATTATTTGTAGGAATAAGGTCAAATATTTATGCAGCTGTTCTCAGGACTGGACCACAAAGAAGTCTCACGTATCAAGAACACACAATTTTAATTCCTCCTTCTTCTCTTAGTTGCATCCTCCACAAGCTAATACACACAATTTTAATTCCTCCTTCTTCTCTGTGTTAGTTGCATCCTCCACAAGCTAACGAGCATGACTCGTTATCTGAGACTTAATTACAGCGGTCACAGGAATGTTTCATCTTTAATTCCACCTCTGTGAATCAGCTCAGCAGCTTCATCTAATTCTCCTTCATCTCCCCGTGCAATTGCTCACTCAGAAATATCATGTTGGAAGGAAACTTCCCATCACCTAACATATCTCTCGGTCATTTTCTTTGTACATAGTTGCCATCACAGTCCATTATTTGCATTCCCTGGATGAGACAAGCCAAAGACAGGTCCAGTATTTCAGGAGCCATGATGAATACCTCTACCACTTGTTTAGACTGTACTTCTTTCAGGAAAAGGGAGCTGAAGCTTAGCGCAGGGAACACGCTTGCTCCATCTCTATTAGTAAAATAAACTCTTCCAGGGAACATTCCTGGGCACAGAAACTTAGCCCCCTACACACACTAGATAGCACTGTCTCTGGCCTGGGTCTGATGGGGACCCCGGCTGCCCTCCCACACAGTCCCCAGGTGCCATCTGGAAGGCAGCTCGGCCCAGGGACCATTTTCGATGGGCATCCTGCACGTAGCCTCCCAGCCTTCTGAGAGTGCAAGGATCCAAGAGGACAGACATGGGCTGCACCTTGCTGGTTCGTCTCCGAGATCTGTCAGGCACACTTTTAATTTTCTGGTACAGATGTAGCCATGAAATCCAAAGTGGTTTAGATGAAGACTGCTGCTGCCTTGCAATGTCTTAGGGAGTTAAACTCAGCCGACCACACATCCCAGCACACACTGAGCGAGACAGTGCTGTCTTGATCAAAGCACTGCTGGAGTCTGGCTTCATTTTGGACAAAGTAAGGGTGACCTTCATCCTCCTGGTAAATTGCCAATGCGGCGGATAGCCCAGCTTTGAGATTTGTGTACATTTATTTCACTCTTCTTCCTCCGGTAAAAGACAAACAGAGCAGGAAGCAGTAGAAAACAATTCTAAACCAACCTATGATAAGGATCAGGAGAGAAATGTAACATCCTTCTATTGTTTAAATCCCAGTTGCAGAGCACAATGCTCAATGCCAAAAACCCTGGGCCTCGAGCTTTAACAAGTAAGAAATGTTTGAAGACATAATGTAAAAAGCATATAACCAGCTACAATTAGATAATATCAACAGACAAAATTGCATGATGTCTTAAACGCTGTAGAAAGGGAGTGCTAAATGTTGTTTCTAAACCAAGACGTAATCATACGCAAAGCAAACGTTTAATAAATGGGAATTGCACTGCACAGTACGTAACTCCTGTTTCATGCTTGATGTTATTCTGCATTCATCACTCTCTTAACTTTAAAACAGTTGTTACTCACTCGAAATCTGTCTTCCCAGGAAGTCTGCAAAAGCTGAATCATCTCTAAAGGTGAGCCTAGTTCAGTGATGGTTGTAAGCGTGTCTGGGATGTCATTGCTGTCTTGGTAGCAATAGCCATAGAGCTGAAAAAAAATCACAACCCGGCAATATCAGTGTAACATATCTTGGCATGCTTTTCCATTTCTCTATGGATGAGGTGCAAAGTAAGCATTCCTTACAAGGCTCTGAGCTCTAAACACTGTATTGCCTTGAAATCACCCCCCAACAGCTTTTGTGTCCTCTCATTTGCAGAACACTCCCTTGAAATTCCCGAATTCGCCAGCAGTGTCTCTTGTGGGCATCATACAGCAGAGGGACACTGAAGTGCCCCCCGCATACCCTGTTGCACAGTATCTTTTACCAATTAATATTTAAGAGAAAAAAATAAATTAAAATATCCATGAATGCAGAAACAGAATTCTATCTGAGGAAAATTAGTTCAGCCTATGCAATACCCTGATAAATAAGACTGGTTTGCTGCTTAAAAGACATCACAAAATAGCTTTTAATGACATTTTATTTCCCGTAGGACTACTGTTTCTGCATTGAGTGGCAATGTGTATTTCAATGACATGGGAGCCTGAAAAGCAATTGAAGCACCAAAACTTATCTTTTCCCAGCCAGAAATTGCCTCTCACTATGCTGGACAGACTTCGTGTGCCATATTGTTACAGAAGGGCAAATACTCCAAAACATTATCTGCCAGTAGCTTCTTCAGTTTAAAAGCATTTAAATGGCAATTTCGGCCATGCTCCAACTCCTTCTTGTATTTGCTTTCCAAGGACATTTGAGTGATTAATTTTCACTTGCACAAATAATTGCACAAGAATATTTAAAGACTGTGGAGAAGAGATGTCTTGCTTTATATGGAGTGGGACAGCGTCTGACAGGGCTGGGGGGACAGGCTTTTACAAACTCCCTGCCAAGCCCTGGCAGAGAGGCAGTTAAATGAGCCTGATAAGGATCTGATTGCAACTTTCCAGCCAGAACAGCATGCACATGAAATAAAATTAAATGTAATCTCTGCCACCAGTCAAATAAACCAGACAGAAAAAGGGTCTGTGTGAAAACACAGCATTAAAAAATGCCCTGCTGCTATTCTTCTATTGCCTTGCCCGGCGTAGTTTGACTTCTCAAGCCTCTTTTAGTTTTAAAAAGCTTGGGGAAGCTGACGGGTGTCTCCTCTGAGCTGAGGGGACCCAGATCCAGCCCTGCAGAACAAGCCAGGCTCATCCAGAGCAGAAGAGGGACAGACCCTAAGCCAGAGGAAAGCTGAGACCGAGACGAGCGAGTGCAATCGATGGAGGGAGCGTGGTGAGGCTGCACACAACCGCTGCGAGCAGATTCGAGTACCAAGCACATTCTTACACCTTGTGACTCTCCCAGACAGAAAAGCAAAGACCAGGCTAAAGTCAGCAAATACCAGATTTGTTATGAACAGTTCTGCTAGCTCTGCCTGTAGCTGTCTACATTTAAAGGGAAAAAGGGTGCCAAAAAATGTAAAAGAAGTAAACAATTTTTCTTTTTGGTGTAAAAATGGTGCTGTATTTCAAAACAGCTGCTTAAACACGGACATGAACCTAAACAAAAAAAGAGCTAGAAGATTTTATTTTAAAAACATGCCGAAAAGATTTTGGCATCAATGCACAACAGAGAATCTGTGATAGATGCCGATAGGAACATTTGAAATAGGAAAAGGGACCCTCCTCTTTACTGCTACAACTGTGACAGAGATCAAAACAGCAACCATTTCTTAATCTAGAGTTATTCAGATCGGTCATGGATTTGTTCCTTATCATCTGTGACAGCATTTTTGTGCAGCTTATTGACAGGAGTTAAATCTTCGTGTGATGCAAATTGTCTTAGAGGATCACATCACTACAATTCTGTTCAAGCTTTCTGAACCACAAAAAATGAAAATAAATGAAAACAATAAATATTATAATATATAT